ATAAATTAAATTTGTATCACTGCATCTATCTCCCAGTATGAAAGAGGCTCCTGGTCTTATTCTTTCAAGGTTTATATTTCAAGGCAAGATTTCAGCATAATTTAGAAGTTTCCTTTTCTATTGAGTCAATTTGCTGTTTTTGAAATATTGTACAAATAACTCACATGTACCATGTTGGGTGGTGAATAATCTATCTTTTGATGAAAAGCATAAGTTCTTTTTAGAAGGAATCATTTATTTCTTAACATCCCCAAGGCAAAAAACTCCCAAGATACAGCTAGGACTCTTCCTCTCTCTGGTTTATTTGACACCATATTTATAAAATAAGTTTTCTAAATCAAATGATCTTGAATATGTGACTTGGGAGGTTTGTGCTCTTCGACTCCTAAGGAAGAAAGCTATTGAGGAATGTTCATCATTCATTCAATCACTCATTCACTAGACACTCATTGAGTGCACTGGACTTGCACAGCACTGTGCTAGGTGGTAATACCAAAGGATGGGGAAGATAAAAAGATAAATAAGAAAGCATTCCTCCACATTAGGAGCTGAGAAGCCTACAATACATGAACCAAGCACTAAGTACAAAAAGCAAATAGGAGACAGTATGGTGCCTACATCTGATTGCACACCAAGATCACTTGAGAAACCAATTTAAAATAAAGAGTCTTAAAATCCTGAAAGAGAACACAGGCAGCAATCTCTCTGACATCAGCCATAGCATCATTTTTCTAGATATGTCTCCTAAGGCAAGGGAGACAAAAGCAAAAATAAACTATTAGGACTACACCAAAATAAAAATCTTTTGTACAGCAAAGAAAACTATCAACAAAATGAAAAGGCAACATACTGAATGGAAGAAGATATTTGTAAGTGATATATTTGATAAGGAGTTAATATTCAAAATATAAAAAGAACTTATACACCTCAATACCAACCCCCCCAAACAATCCTATTAAAATGGGCAAAGAAGACATATAGATGGCTAACAGACACATGGAAACATGTGCAATATCAGTAATCATCAGGGAAATGAAAATCAAAACCACAGTGAAATCTTACACCTTACACAATCATCTTACACCTGTCAGAAGGCTGGAATCAAAAAGACAAGTAATAAGCATTGGCCACAGTATGGAGAAAAAGGAACTCTCATGCACTATTGGTGGGAATGTAAATTAGTACAGTCACTGTGGAAAACAGCATGGAGATTCCTCAAAAAGTTAAAAATAGAATTACCATATGATCCAGTAATTCCATTGCTGGGTATTTACCCAAAGAAAATGAAAACACTAATCTGAAAAGGATATTATGCACCCCTATGTTTACCGCAGCATTGTTTACAATAGCCAAGATATGGAAGCAACTGAAATGTCGATCAATAGACAAGGGGATAAGAAAAATATGGTACATACACACAATGGAATACTAGGCAGCCATAAAAAGGTGAGAACTTGCCTTTTTCAACAACATGCATGGATGAACCTAGAGGGTATTATGCTAAGTGAAATAAGTCAGACTGAGAAAGACAAACGCCATATGATTTCACTTATCTGTGAAATCTAAAAAACAAAACAGGTGAATAAATAAACAAAAGCAGAATCAGGATCTATAAATACAGAAAACAAACTGATGGTTGTGAGGGGAAAGGGTCGTAGCGGATGGGGAAAATGGGGGAAGGGGAGTGGGAGATACAGGTTTCCAGTTATAGAATGAATAAGTCACAGGAATAAAAGGCACAATGTAAGGAATATAGTCAATGACATTGTAATAATATCGTACAGAGACAGATGGTAGCTACATTTAGCATAGCATAATATATACAGAATATATATATATACATATATAGCATAGCATAATATATACATATATTATATGCATATAAATATATATATATATATATAGCATAGCATAATATATACATGTATTATAGGCTTCTAAGTTCCTAATGTGGAGGAATGTTGTACACCTGAAATTAATGTAACATTGTGTGTCAACTATACTGAAATTAAAAATTTTTTTTTAATTTGGGGCACCTGGGTGGCTCAGTCGGTTGGGCATCCAACTTCAGCTTGGGTCATGGTCTCACGGTTGGTGAGTTCAAGCTCCGTGTCGGGTTCTGTGCTGCCATCTGGGAGCCTGGAGCCTGGTTCAGATTCTGTGTCTCCCTCTCTCTCTGACTCTCCCCTCCTCACACTCTGTCTCTCTCTCTCTCTCTCTCAAAAATAAATATTTTTTAAATTAATTTTTTGTATTAAAAAAATAAAAAACAAAGATTCTTGGGCCCCATCTGCTGGGCTGAGACCTACTGAATCAGAAGAAACTGAGAATTTGTTGGGGCTTTGTTTGTTTGTTTGTTTGTTAAGTATTCTTCACTCCCAATGCAGAGCCCAACACAGGGCTTGAACTCATGACCCTGAGTTCAAGAGTTCGACACTTAACCCACTGAGCCACCCAGGTACCCTGAGAATTTGCATTTTTATAAATAGTCGAAGTAATTCTGAGATTCAGGCAGGTGGGGAATTCCAAAGCTTAAATAATGTTCTCATGGCTAGAAAATCCCACGTAGGCCCCACCACGAACACCAATAGCATTTTGCTGCCAACTCATAGTCAAGATCAGGGACACTGAGATCCTCAACTGCAAAGCCAGAAAACTAGCCTACAAAGAAGTGGTCTGACTTGCCCATAGAGAATATCCAGCTGGATATGCATCTTTAACTAGGAAGTCAAAGATTTCTAGCTATCATCACATTATTAGGAAATCAAATACCTATTTCAGCAGTATGCAAGACTATTCACACAGAATCACCGCTCATCAGAGCTAGGTGGGACCTCACAGATGGTTACACGTCTCAGGCAGTAACACAAATGACTAAAACAGGCTAGAGGGGTCAGGAGTTAAAGGCCACCCGCTGCTCCACCTGAGCTGGTACTTGCCATGAAACAACGTGGGCCCAATGTGCCATTTCTTCCAAATTTTCAAGAGAAGCCAGAAATCTGGATTTGAAACACTCTGCATGCAAATAAAACAGACTTCACAGACAGATTTGCCCCACGAGCTACCAGTCTGTAATTCCCAATGTAATCCAAAGTCTTCACTTGACATGTGAGAAAAGAACCTGGTCCTATCCCTTATATATTTTCAGTTTGGCCTGCACCAGTAAGGAGAGAGAGTTGTGGTTGAATTACGTTCTGCTCTTTTTCCTGGGTTTGATTTTGTCAATTTTATTGATTGGCCCTGATGTTCAAAGGCAAGTTTGGATGCCCTGGAATCTGGCGTCCGGTGGCTGGAAGATGCTCACGTATAAAAGCCCAGCACTCTCACCCCAACTCAGGACAACTCTGCAGAGCCACCCCAGTTTCAAAGCTCCCCAGGGGATGAGCTAACACCATTTTTGTGGCCACATCACAGCCAGGCTTCCCCCAAGGCCCAGTCCTGTATCCCCTACAGGTGTGGGTCCCAGAGCACTCCCCAGTACACTTGCATAGCTTCTCTATCTTCAAGCCTGCTTCCCAGGAATCTGGCCCCCAATGTCAAGCACGTCAGGATCTCTCCGAAAATAACCTCACCTGTGACAGTCCGGACTTGCAAAGTCAAATCAGAGGACCATTCTGTGCAATGTGAAAATTTCTTCTGTAGTTTATTTCGAAAATGGTTTTATTGGTTTTTGAAAAATCAGACTATAGTAGATGCTTCCTATTTCACGTCCCCACCTCTGCCCACATCTGTGGCGGGCAGTTCCAGAAGTTCAGACTCAGCTGGTGTTGACAGTGTCTGGCTCCTTTTTCTGCCATTACACTCAGAGCTTTTTCTGATGCTTCAGGGCCCACTGGCCCCTCACAGGTAGAGCCCGCAAAGGTGGGGATGTTTGTGCCAACGAGGACTGGGAGCTAATGGATTACTGCTCCATCCAGTCTCCTGGCTTTTGGGCAAGTCCCAGGGCAAGGAGCTCCCATTCCCCACCCCACAGCCATTATACACCCTGACATGGGCTTCACCCACCCCATCACCTCTCTCCCTCGGTCCTTTTCCTGGGATCATGTCTCAAATCAACCATACCAAGTCCAGAATGAGATAGATGCATCCTCAATTTTTAAATGCTCAACAATACACAAAAGTATAAGAAGAGAGTAAAAGTGCATTTGCAAAACATCCCTCCAATTGTATTTCTATGCATTAATGCCCATTTATAAATAGCTTCAAATAGATTGGATCGACCTAGACACTCTGTGTACTAACCCGGCAGGTCCCTTCAAACACTTGTCTTACTGAGTACATTTAAAATTCAAACCACCTTCTACAATTGTTTCATTCATACATCCATTCATTTGACAAATGTTTGTTTCAAGTCTTCTATCTGCAAGGCACAGTGCTAAATACTGTAGATGTTACAAAGACATCTCCCATGCCCTCAGGGTGTTTCTATCCATTTTTCTATTTAATTTTTCAGGAGCATATCGACTGAACACATTAAGGCCTGCATGTTTTCAAAAACCACATTAGGACTCCTTGAAATCTAATGCCACAGGCTTAAATTAGAGTTTCCATCCAACTGGTAGATATAAGATGAATGGACTCCTGGGTTCAAATTTTGGCTCTGTCACTAAGCAGAAGTGTGACCTTGGCCCTCATTTTTCTTGTTTGTAAAATGGGGGATCATAATAACTCTTGTCAGTAGTTGTGAAGATAAAATGAGATAATCGATATAAAGAACTTGGCACAGTGCCTGACACAGAATAAGCGCTCAATACATTTTCACTATAATAATTATTTTCGTCTCACATTAACCTCAGGTCCACTAAGTGTGAAGCATGGATCCAGGCACCATGGGAATTGGGCAGAATATTGAAACTCAAAATACAGACACTGTCCAATGCTTTTCCACTCGTCAGTTTTATCAGCTTGGAGTCCCGTCACTGTCACCGGGGAGCTAAGGCACCAGAAACACAGTGCGTGCCCCTGACCATTCCCTGTAACCACAGAGAGATTGGTCTCACCTGTCAATTTGTTGCCAGTGCACAGGTGCAGGTGGTGGTTTTGCAACTGGAGTTTGCTCTGGGTCCCCAGAGTCCTGCACGCAGTGTTTACCAATCCTGTAGGGAAAACACAAACCAGAGAACATAGAAGAGATTTAAGTATCAGATTTGCTCAACTGTCTGAGCAAATACCTTGCTGGCATGGAGACTCATGCTGCATTTCAACTCCTCAAGAATTATCTGCTCCGGCAGTCACCCCCTAACACATATGTCCCCTCAGTATGAGGGGACATGTTCACCAGGAGCTTCTCTGTCTTCTATCTTGTGTAGTCCTCCTAGCATCCGGCACAGGCTTAATCCTCCTAGATGCTTAATAAATATTTGTCTACTGATTGGCTGAGTGCTTACAGATCTTAAATATCACCCTGGCAAAGAAAGAGTGTGAGGAGTGTGGAGAATGTTTTAGGCTATGCATCTCTTTTGAAAACCTGACTTTTCAAAAACTTCCTGCCTAAGCTTTGTAAAGTGCTTTAAAGAGAGAGAGAGAGAGAGCAGATAAATTCAAATTAGCCTCCTGATGCAATCGTGTGTGTCTGGCTGAGAGCAGAGCAAGGGTGGAAGCAAGACCAGGATGCCTGCCACTCCATGCACAAAAGACTGCAAAACCAACATCGCGTAGATTGGAAAACATATCTAAGGTGGCGGCAAGAACAGGTGAGAAAGGAGATTGTTCTACAGCTGAGGACAGCAAGCCACTGCCAAAGATATATTTTGTTTGAATTGTTCATTTGTAAGACAACAACAACAAAAAAGTATTAGAATTAAATTAGAAACACTGGAAACACCAGATCCTAACTCTACAAGGTAACAGTTGGCTCTAGTTTATTCATATTCGTTCCTACCACCCTCTACTGTCTCCCTGTTATAAAGTTGCATGTAAATTGCCATTTGTCACCTTGCTTCCACTATAGTTTTTCTTACAAATCACATGAGGAGGAAAATTGGGGCTCCTGGCTGCCTCAAGTGGTAGAGCATGTGACTCTTGATCTCGAGGTTATGAGTCCAAGCCCCACACTGGGTGTAGAGATTACCTTTTTTTAAAAAATTGGGAGTAAAATGAAATGTTTGTATTCATGTCTCTATCAAAACTGGAAAAACAAAAGACAGACTGAAAGGGCCACATTGCTTCATGAAAATGTTTTACCCATGGCCCACTTTACTCACTTATGGCACATTCTGTGCCTTGTGGGCATTTTAATCTGCATCTTATATTAGTTTTATATTGTAATTATCACAAATTACTGCAGTTTGGTGGCTTAAACACAACACAGATACATTATGATTGTGAAAGTCAGAAATCCAAAAGGGTTTCACTGGACTAGAACAAGGGGTCTACAGGGTCTCTATTGCTTCTGAAGGCTTTCAGGGGAGAAAATTCGGTCCCTTGCCTTTTCCAGCTCCCCTTGCTGCCCACATCCCTGGGCTCACGGCCCCCAGTCAGGAACCCATCTCTGCTTTTACTCCAATTTCTGCTTATAGCCATCATATCTCTCTCACACACAGCCCTGCTTCCCTATTGCCCCTCTATGGGCCCTTGTAATTACATTGGGACCACCTGGATAATTCACTCCCCTCCTCAAGGCACTCAATTTAATCACATCTACAATTCCCTTTGGCCACATAATGTGACACAGTCCCAGGTTCCAGGAATTAGGATGTGGGCATCTTCGGGGAGCCATTCTGCTTATCAGATACCCTGTTACAGAGGCCAGGAATTGTTATGCCACTGCTTGCTGAAGAGAAGAAAAGGGGGAGGGGGCCAAAGGAAAAACTAAACATTTCAAAACTTTTGAAAATAATCCAGTTGAAATTCAACTTGCTCAAACTTCTGAACCTGAACAGGGAAATAAGGAAATAGAATGGTGAAGTGGTATTATGTCAACATTTAAATCCCTTTCCAAGTCTGGAGAATTTCCACCTTATGAGTTTTGGTGGGAATCAGGACCACTTTCCATCACAGGGTATGAATATGTGAGATACTGACTTTCCCATCATCCCTTGCAGCTGGGGCTGGCCTGGGATCTGGCTGCACCAATCAGAATGAGTCACAAGGGCTTGGAATTGAGAACTGTTAGCATAGGAAGTAAGGAATAGGCAGCTTCCTCTCTTTGGCCAGGCAAAGGCACCCACAATTTTCTCATCAAAACCCCTAGTTCTAAGGAGAACTAGGGCATTTTTCCTGCTTTGAGCAGGAATGCTTTTTCAATCACTGAGCTTGGTGTTCCAGCCTCACAATCATCCTGTGAACTACCCAATATTTTAAGAAACTCCTTCCCTGTCTAACTCCATTACACTCAACTTCTGCTGCTTGCAATGAAGACCAATGCAGAGAGTGTATGGCTGCAAATTGAGTATATAGGTTAAGATAGGTTAAGATATAGGTTAAGAGCTCTGGACTCAACCAGAGCTGGGTTCAGGTCCTAGATCTACCCCTTTCTAGTAGTGTTTTAACCCTGGCCAAGTTACTTAACCTCCCTAAGTTTCAAAGTAATTGTAACGGCACTGACCCTAACTCATAGGTATATGGACACCAAACAGGATAACACAAGTGAAGGACTTAGTCCAATGCTTAGTACATAGTGATAGATAGCTAGGTAAATAGCAGCTACTATTAATTTTAAAGGCTTTGAGTTAAAAATGTCAGCAAAGAATACCAATCCCTCAATATTCATTCTCCTCTTTTTCTTTGGTAATAGAAGCCCAGTTTTAGACGGGCACATGGCCACATGGAATAAGGCCTATCCCAGACTCCTCTGAAAGCTTAATGTTCCTATGTGACTTGGTTCTGGCCAAGAGGGTATAAGCTGAAACAAGCAACTTCCAGAAAATGTCCTTAAAGAGAGCAGACGTGCTCTAATTTGTTTCTTCCTCTATTACTTGGAATGCAAATATAATGGCTGGAGCTTGGACAGCTTTGTTAGGCCATGAGGTGGAAGCCAAGGGCTAAGTAGAGTGTAGTGGCAAGATAAAAGTGTCTGAGAACTGTGGAATGCGTTCACAACCCCGGTATTGATTACCTTCAGGTCTCCTTTACTCCATAGAGAAGTGAACTTCCATATTGTGTAAGCCTGTGGTATTTTGAATTTTTTTTTTTCCAACGTTTATTTATTTTTGGGACAGAGAGAGACAGAGCATGAACGGGGGAGGGGCAGAGAGAGAGGGAGACACAGAATCAGAAACAGGCTCCAGGCTCTGAGCCATCAGCCCAGAGCCTGACGCGGGGCTCGAACTCACGGACCGCGAGATTGTGACCTGGATGAAGTCGGACGCTTAACCGACTGCGCCACCCAGGCGCCCCAAGCCTGTGGTATTTTGGATTGCCATCACTCACAGCTGATATCACTCACACCTAATTGATATCAGAGTCCTTCCTACAACATCCCTAGCGGTGAGTCAACTGACTTTTGTTCGAACACTTTGAGTTATGAAAGCTTTGCTACCTGACAAGGAGCAAATTACCTTCTATTTTTAAAAGTTGCTTTTGTATTATATAGTTAATATTTGAATCCATTGTGATTTAAAAAAACATGTAAAAAATGTTTTAATGTTTATTTGTTTTTGAGGAAGAGGTGGGTGGAGGGGCAAGGGAAGGGACAGAGGATCGGAAGCAGGCTTCGTACTGACAGCAGCAAGCCCAGTGCAGGGCTCTAACTTATGAACTGTGAGATCATGACCTGAGCTGAAGTCAGATGCTTAACCAACTGAGTCACCCACATGTCCCCCAAAAATGATATATTTTAAAGTATGAAATTCCCCATCATTCCCACTTCCATGGATTTCCTTCCTCAAAACTAACCATGGTTGGGGCACCTGGGTGGCTCAGTTGAGCGTCTGATTCTTGATTTCGGCTCAGGCCGTGATCTCGTGGTTCATGAGCTGGAACCCCACATCATCATCAGAGCCTGCTTGGGATTCTCTCTCTCTCCCTCTCTCTCTGCCCCTCCTGAGTGCTCTCCCACTCTCTGCCTCAAAATAAATAAAACTTTTAAAAAAGCACCGACCATGGTCAACAGTCCAGTTATGTCTTTCTGGTCCAATCTCAATACAATTACATTCATACCAGTAGCGTAATAGTAGTGAGAATGCAGAGAAGGGACCCGACAAAAGAGAACCCACAGTACTCAATAACTGATGAGATAAGAGAATGGTGGAATTGAGAAGGGAGAACAGTCAAATAGGCAATCCAGGAGTCAAGCCGAGGTGAAACTGGGCAGGATGAGGGGGCACAGCAGAAAAAAGAAGAGGAGAAAGGATGATTACCAGCCCAGTTCTGGGCAGTTTCATCTCCAGAAGTTGGCTGAAGCCACAGGCAGGTGTCTGAGAGGTTCAGAATTGAGGGTGAGGAATGCAGTCTCCTGCAAAGAGCTGGAGCTCAGAGGAGGAGAATGCGGTGATGTCGG